TGATCGGACGGAAGATCTTCCTCTCTGTCTCTCCTCTCTGTATATCCGCCTTTCCAATAAAAAAATAATGAAAATAAATCTTTAAAAAAATTTCTTTTAATTCTGAGTTAGAGACAGAGAAGAAGAGACATATTCTATTCAGTCCCCACGAGGCTGCAATGGTCAGCACATGGCTAGTCCGAAATCAGAAGCTTCATCCAGATCTCAGTTGGGTCGCAGGGGTCCAGGCATTTCAGCCATCTTTTGGTGCTTTTAAGAATGTTAATCACTTCATGTCATTTTACATTGTCTTATGAGTTAATTGCAGTATCAGTAGTTTTCTTTAGAGTTTCATTTTTCATGGTGTGATAATTTATTTTAGGAAAAAGGCCAATTATCTACACAAAAATTTTCCTTTATTACAAGTGTCCTGATCAATTTCCAATCTACTGTCTATATCATCACATAACACTATTTAGAAGAATATAGAAATTTCCTTTTCTTACAGATCTAAGATGGAATTAAATGATCAGTCTCGAGTGCATAGAATCATAGACTTAATGTAAATTTTCATGCTTGAATACAGTGCAGCATTTTTTTTTTTGCGAATGTTTATTTTTCATGAAACTGTTACGTAAGCACAAGGATTGCTCCTTCCAATTCCTCCCATCACCCTACCCTCCCCGGTTTCCCCACATTATTACAATATTATAGTACTTCATTCTGCTATTTAAGAGTAACATGACATTGTCATATACACAATAGTAGAAATTCCAGCATCCTAATGTCAAGATATATCTAACCATATAATCAACAGCCCCTCTTTTATTCAGCTGTAGAAATGCATACTACACATGTCTTGACTTCCTGGTATGCTAGTTTATATTATACAGTTTCCCTATGTGTATTAGTTTATCTATATACCTATATATCTTGTATATTTTATGAGGGCTGCCTTACACCAGACAACATCCTTTTGGGATTGGCTTATTCACTGATCATAATGGTGTCTAGTTGGGACCATTTGCTGCAAATGGTAGCATTTCATTTTTTCTTAATGGCTGAGTAGTATTATATCCAAAGAAAATAAAATCTGCATATGAGAAAATGACCTGCAACCCTATATCTGTAGCAGCACCATCCACAATAGTGAACAAATGGAAATGACCCAGATGCCTGTCAAAAGAGGAATGGATAAATAAACTGCTACATCTATTCCATGGAACACATTACAATCTTAATATTGAAGTTATAATAGGAAAGACAAATGTTAAAAATTTGTAATTGGACCCAGCATGATAGCATAGTGACTACCATCCTTGCCTTGCATGCACCAAGATCCCATATTGGTGACAGTTCTAACCCCAGCAGTTCTATGTCCCATCCAGCTCCCTGCTCGTGGCTTGGGAAAGCAGTGCAGGACAGCCCAAAGCCTTGGGACCCTGTACCCGCAAGGGAGACCTGGAAAGAAGTTCCTGGCTCCTGGCTACGGATTGGCTCAGTTCCAGCCATTGCAGTCACTTGGGGAGTAAATCATAGTATGGAAGATTTTCCTGTCTCTCCTCCTCTATGTATATCTGACTTTCCAATAAAAATGAATATTTTTTAAAAGTTTAATTAACACAAATTTCAAATGCATATACTTGATTCAATTTTAATGTTTCCAGTGTGAAAGACTTACAAAACACCAAGTTATTACTAAGAACACTGAAAATGGTTCAGAATAATGTTAAAGAAAACAGCAAATACATTTACAAATTCTGTTTTCCATTTTTTTTTCAAGAAAACTTCATAATTTGAGGCCCTGGATGCCAAGGTTTTTTAGAAAAGTCCGAGAGTAGGAGCAACCATCTCTCCAAACAGAAGGACAGCCATTAATTTTCAGAATAGTTTGCCCACCATAAAACCATGTAAAAGTATTCTGCTACAAAAATGAAAATAAAGTTTAATAAGAGTAAATTTGATCATGAAAATTCTTACAACACATGGTTTACTGAATGTAGCCCATAAAATTTCTTGCTGCTACAAAGTTGTTAGTTCCATACACTAACTCTATCGCACTCCTTTGGCAGGTGTGCTAGAGTATGTGTGCATCTTTGTGCATAAAAATGAATGTAGGGGGCCTGGCACAATAACATAGTGGTTAAAGACCTCGCTTTGAACACACTGGGATCCAATATGGGTGCCAGTTCTAAATTGGCAGCCCCACTTCCCATCCAGCTCCTTGCTTGTGGCCTGGTAAATCAGTAGAGGACAGCCCAAAGCCTTGGAACCCTGCACCCGCATGGGAGGCCTGGAAGACGCTCTGGGCTCCTGGCTTTGGGTTGGCACAGCTCCTGCCATTGCGGTCACTTGGGAAGTAAACCATCAGATGGAATATCTTCCTCTCTGTCTCTCCTCCTCTCTGTATATCCGTCTTTCCAATAAAAATTAATAAATCTTTTTAAAAAAATGAATGTAGGAAGTATAAGACATTCTACAGATAAGAGCCCTGGGCTCTAACTCTTCCCTTGAACATGACTATATTATACTTTTATAACTGAAGATATATAGAGCAAAAAATTAATTTCTAGTATAAGAGGTGGCAATATTTTATGGTAAAAGTAGGTTAATTCTAAGATAAACATAAAGGTATAAACAAGCTGAACCATCTTCTACACTGTTTATTAAATTTACTTTCAGCAGAACTGTAATAGGGAGAGTGAAAGATAATCTGCTCCTGGTCCTCAGGTTATCGGGGTTAATCATACATATCAGGTTTCATTCTTCAGAACACTGAAGATGGATGCTCAATGTGACTAAGAGGATCACAGGGAACACAGCAGAAGGAATAGGAAGAGCCTAGTTCAAGTATTATCTACTCAGAGAACTTCGAAAACTCTTATGAGAAGTTCATTTCTATAAGTATCCGAACGTGTACCTATGTTATTCAAATTTTTTTTTGGTTTGGTCTTTTCCAGCTAAATCATATACCAATGACTGAAAAATTATTATTTACCTTCTTCAGTTCCACATTCCCAACATCTAGAGCTACTTCTGACATTTACTATGTATTTGTGATGGGAATGGGAAAAAAAAAAAAAGAGAGAAGCAGGAGTTATAAGATGGGAAGCAATTACTTGTAAAGACAGAAAAAAAATATTCAATTCTATCAAATGATAGCTTCAATCACATAACCTAGATGTTTAGATACAGGCAAAGGCAAAATGTTAGGAACCCTAGACTGTAAGTCATTTATCTACCAAATGTGTATAAACAAAACAGGAAATAAAAAATATGGCCCAGAAGGAATAAAGCTTAACTCTTAGCACGTAGGTAATAAGACAACAGTCAGCAAACATAACACAAAAGTGAAATCAAATGACAGCAATAAACAATTTGGAAGAAAAAAATAGACTGAGAAGGTTGAGGGCATGTAGGGAGGTTGGACTTTTAGCTGGAATCAGGCCAGGAAGAAAGGACCTATACGTTTTTTATATCCCCAGTGTTTTCCTCTCAAACTATTGCTGTAAGTAAGGAACAAGAGCTCTGAGGCAGTATGTCCACATCATGAGAATGACCTAGTCTCCTCCCATAAATGGAAGTATCTGAAAGAGAATACAAGCTTTAAAGTAAAGCTAGGCTAAAATCCAAGTTCTGCTGCCCAAATAGAATGGGAGAGGTACCTTCCAACTCCTGTTATGAGAAGTTTCTCCACGTACACATGTACACATTCAGGTACATCCATTTACCTGCATGTGTATTCTTCCTTGCTATTATACCCACAAACATGCCAAAAGTAAAGGTATTTTAACCTATTACTATATTTCTACCATGTGATGAGGTGTTTACATTTCAATGGATGTACACTAAATGGAACCAAATATTATTAGCATCCTAATTCTTCATAATGAAGAGTTCCTGAGAATGTGGGAGGTAAAGTGACTTTCCAGGCTTGGTAATAAAAAAAAGTTAACAGGAACAAAAAGGAAAAGTAACAAAAGCCAAAGCAAATGACTGGTAGGCAAGTTTTGCACTAGTTGAAATTTCAGCCAGAAGGAAAAGATTTTTCACAGTGTTTGTGACAAAAATGAGGCCTGTGCACCAATGCAGCACACGAACTGTTTGTTTTTCATAATAAAATATAGAAATTGGATAGAAGCATTTAAAAATTTTTATAGATTTTTTTTTTGCTGCAATATCTCCACACATGATTTTGTAGTTTACAAAAGTATCTGTTTGCTACAGATGAACAAACAAAACAATCTGGTATGCAAGCACAAATGGTTTGAGAATCACAGGATCCACTGGCCATCTGCCCTTGACATCCGTGCCTTAGCTATGATTCATAATTAACTAGCATTCACTGACATTAATCCAAATGTTGACATGTCAAAAGTAGCCCTCTACAGACAAGAAGAGCTTCCACTGCAGTAAAATTTACATGAGAAAATCCAAGCCAGATCCCAAAAACAATTAGCTGAAAGTTTGTAGATGCCATTTTGCTCATGAATTAGGGTATGGATTCCTTTGGGTTCGATCCCTTACCCACTTATTGAGAGCAGAAGGAGAAGGTAGACAAAAGCAGACACAACCAGGGAGTAGTGTCTCAAATGACAGTATCATTAGACTGTTACACAATTAGTATACTGTTAATTACATACAGAGGGAGGGAAAGCCTTCAACAGAAGTGCCAACGGCATGGAAAGCAATCAAAAAACAATGCAACACTGAAGTTCCTCTTTTGAAGAAAGATGACAAAAATCGTTGAAAAATAATCAGCCAAAACATGGAGGAAAAACAAGTTTCCTGAGAGTTCTGTCACAACATCAGCTGCATACATTTACAAACATACGTGTATATATTCATTCACACACAGGAGAATTTATTACAATAGAAAAGCTTAGATGAATGTGTGTCTTTGAATTTTACTTTGTGATAAAATCTTAATCTTTACAATTTTGGAAAAATTGGAGATTTATAAATACTTCAGTTTTTACCTAATACACATCAAATACTATGGGCTTTAAAATTAGCCATCCCTGTACTCACTGCAGCAACAAATAAATTAAAATTTGAATGACACAGAGCAAATTAGCATGGCCTTGTCGAAGAATGACACACAAATCCATGAAGTTTCCCATACATAAAATAAAACGAAACAATAGTAAAGGCTAACCATGCCTTCTCTGGAAATCACTCCCAAAGCAGAACATTTAGAAAGCAGAACCGTAACCCCATCTTCATGAAGGAGGAGACATTTCAAAGTGTAATGTGCAAAAGAGAAAAGGACAAACTGAAGCACCTGTAAAAGGAAGAATAACAAGCTAACCCTCCTCAGCACAATGTGAAGCACAGAGCAACACGGAGTCTGACAGTGGTCAGCATAAACCGCCTGTGCAGGCAGTCAGCACGGCTGTGAGCCTGTTTCGGGCACCAAAAAACTGTATCACAGTGCCTGGCTTTGAGTCCCAATTCTGGCTTCCAAATCCCAGGTTCCTGCTCATGGCATCCTGAAAGGAGGAGGTACCAGTGATGATTTCAGACAAGGGGCCTTGTCACTCACCTAAGAAATCTGCATTGCTTTTTGCACACCAGGCTTTGGACTGGTCAAGCTCTGACTGCTACAGGCATTTGACAGGTGAAACAGTGTAGGGAAGATTTCTTTGTATCTTTTCTTTTTTAAGCTTTATCATAGTCATATTTTATTTGAAAGGCAGATTTTAGAGAAAGAAAGGAGAGGTTTTCCATCTTCTAAATGGTTACAATGGCCAGAGTTGATCTAATCCAAAATTAGGAGCCAGGGTCTTCCTCTGAGTCTCCTACATGGGTACAGGGACCCAAGGTCTTGCATTGGCCTCAGCTGCCTTCTCAGGCCCTAAGCAGGGAGCTAGATCAGAAGCAGAGAAGCCAGGACATGCATTGGCATCCATATGAAATACCTGCACCACAGGTAGAGGATTACCTTGCTACAATAGCATGCTGGTCCCAATTTCTGTACCTTTCAAATAAACTTTAAAATTTAAATTGCCTGAAAATTCCTGTAGAAAGATGTACTCTCACATAACTGACTCCATCTACCACACCTGTCAAGAAGAAGAAGCTACAACCTCTGGAGCTACTGATCCAGAGTAAAGTACAGAATCCCAGACATCAGGCACAGAAAAGAACTGAGTATGAAAGGATAAATATAAATATTACTGGGAAAAACACAACAGCAGTGAACATGATGCAATTTCAACTCAGATAAACAGTATTATATACCATTGTATGCTACTATTAGAAATAATGGACAAAAAGAATGTGAATGGAACAAAAACAAGCAAGTTCATGAAACCCAAAAATTTGCACAGGACAAAAAGACAACCATGGTTGTTTCTTCAATAGTGAATGATACTTGTACAATGATAACAACATAAACATTGAATCCCTATCTAACCAACAATTCAGTAATTAGAGACATAAAGAAAGTAAGCCTGAATAAGATGCAAAACGAGAATAGACAATGTTTTCAGGTACTTTAGTAAGATGTAAACAAACGACGTTTCGAGTTGATGAGTCAAGAGGAACAGCAAGCTCATACTTAGAAATGAATGCATGCTGCTATTTCTTGACTTATAAATTACATACAACTAAGTAAAGGGGGAGAAAAACTTAAAAGGCAACTAGAGTAACTTCTCAGATATGTATGAGTGTTGGGGTGCCAAGTGACCACCATCTTTTTGTGTGTAGGACTTTATCACTACTCGACTCTTTAAGCTATGAATTGGCAAACTATGGCTGGTGAGCTGAATCCTGTCCGTCACTGTTTTAGTAAAGGAATGCCTCATGGAGCGCAGCCAACCTCATTCATTCATGCATGCATGACTGCTTTCGTGTTACACCAGCAAACTTGAATAGCTGCAACAGACAGCATGTGGCTTGCAAAGGCTAAAGTTTTCACTAGCTGACCCTCTACAAAAACAAAACACTCACCCCAACTCCCCCAATAGTACTTTAAGCACGTATATTACTGAGACTAAAAATTAAACGCTACGGAGGGGTGGCCCTGTTTATTCTCCAGAATAACACTTTTAAACATCTGTTTTACTCTTAGCAAATGTTAAAACTTCCTGAATACTTCCAATTGTCTCAATGTGTCATCAGAAATGTTTTGAGTATCTGAAATCATTGAAAGAAACTAAATGCATTTATAACTCCCCCCCAAAATTTACATCCCTCTTTTCCATGATGCAGTTATTCAAATATTTTTATTGCCCTTACTGGCTAACTTCACTCTTACAGATGTGTCTTCACCCATCTGAAGAGTTATAAATGCCAGGGACAACACATCCTGTATCTGCTATCACTTGCTCTTCTGTCGTGCCCTGCTTTCCCAACATCTGCCTGCTCTACCTTGGCTTCCATATTCTAAAAGTCGAAGAAATACATATTACTTCAATAATTATAATTATACATTCTGTATAATTTTATTCCAAAGGCTGAAAACCAATACACAGTATTGACATTTTACCAAGGAAATAATGTTCATTGACAAAGCAAATAGAAAATGATGATTCGCTATTTTTCACAATGGTAATGCCTAAGTCAGTGAAGCAAGAGTGTCCAAATGAAACATATTCTTTTATACTCAAAATTACAAGTAATGTTTGATATGTAAGCTCTAAGAATTGACCTAAATATCAAAAACATTCAGATACCATAATTATCTCCAAACATGCTTTTAGAATATGGGTATAAATATTCATAAAGGTTGATGTAATCACAATGAAAAGTAAATCAATATGCACAATTTGTACAGGAGGTAAGAAGTATTTCCTATTATAACAGTAAGCACATTGGACTGGCACTGTGACACAATGAGTTAAGCCACATTCTGCAGAGCCAGCATTCCATATGGGCATTGATTAAATGCCAGCTGCTCCACTTCTTACTCAGCTCCCCTCCAGAACACTTGGGAACACAGTGAAAAATGCCCAAGTGCTTGGGACTCTCCACCCAAGTGGGTGACCCAGATGAATCCAGGTCAGCCTCTAGAGCAATTTGGGGAGGGTACTAGCATGCAGAAGACCTCTCTCTCTCTCTCTCTCTCTCTCTCTGCCTGTAACTCCTTCTCTCTGTAACTACGCATTTCAAATAAGTAAACAAAACTTTTTGAAGAGTAAGCATGTTTGTCTTTGCTCAAATAAGGTTAAAAAATAGGTGATTTTTTTCTAGGAATGTTATAAGTGACTGTATTAAGAATATGAGAAGCAAGGTATCTATGTGACCAAATAGCAATGAGGAATGGGTCATACCACTTTACTGTAACAAATTACTCAGAACTTTATGACACGATGCTGCTGCAGGTCAGAAGTCCAACACAGGACTCTCAAAGGCAGCAAGAAGCCATTGGCAAAGCTGAATTCCATTCGGAGCCTCTAAAGGAGAATTTACTGCTTTGCTTTTCCTCCTTCTAGAAGCTTGTTGACTAAAGTCCTCTTCTTTCTTCAAACCAGTGACGGCCACTTAAATCTAACTTCTTTTTTGCTTTCCTGCTCACAGTACAAGGTTCTTTGTGATTACACTGAGCCTACTAGGTTCAGCAGGATGATCGCCTTGTTGAAAGTCAATGGATGAATAGTAATATTTCTGTAGATTACCTCAATTTTCATTGTAAAGTGTAACATCATACACATGCCAGTCATCAAGACTATAAGGCAGACAGCTTTGGAAGACCATTATTCTGTCTTCTGCAAGGTTCAAACATAGAATACTGTCCTTTTTTTGGAAAAATACTTGTACTAGTTCTAATAATCATTCCAAAATGAAAATAAACATTAATGTAGCAGAAGACCTAGCTCAAAAATGTATTTAAAATAAACAGTTATGGATCATGATATAACATAATTCAAAATGATATTTTCAGGAAGTTTCAATGTTAATTTAGTTGCTCTGAATTTCCAGATAATTTCTCTGATAAGAATATTAAGTTTTTCTAGGGGTAGACTGGCACTGTGGCATAGAGGATAAAGTTGCCACCTACAGCACCGTAAGGGCACCAGTTTGGTTTCCAGCTGCTCCGCATCTGGTCCAGCTCCCTGTTAATGCACCTGGGAAAGTAGCTGGGCACCTGTACCATTGTGGGAGACTTACATGAAGCTCCTAGCTGCATGGCTTAGACTGAGCCCAGCCCTGGCCATTAAAGCCATTTGAGGAATAAACCAGCAGATGTTTGTCCTCTCCACCCTTCTCTCCCTTACTCCCTCCCTCATTCTGTAACTTTTCCTGCCAAATAAATAAATATTTTTTTCAGTGCTAGCTTTTTAATAGTCCAAAAAGCAATACAGATTTTATTTTTAAAAGTTTTATTTATGGGCCCGGCGCGGTGGCGCAAGTGGTTAAGGTCCTCACCTTGCACGCCTGGGATCCCATATGGGTGCCCGGCAGCTCTGCTTCCCTTCCAGCTCCCTGCCTGTGGCCCGGGAAAGTAGTCAAGCACGGCCCAAAGCTTTGGGACCCTGCACCCGCGTGGGAGACCTGGAAGAGGCTCCTGGCTTCGGATCGGCATAGCATCGGCCTTTGCGCTCACTTGGGGAGTGAATGATCGGACGGAAGATCTTCCTCTCTGTCTTTCCTCTCTGTATATCTGCCTTTCCAATAAAAACAAAAAATAAATCTTTAAAAAAAAAAAGTTTTATTGATTTTTTATTGCATTTTGAGAACATGGAAATGAAACGAAATTCACACTATTTGGGTTAATAGAAATGCAGCATAATCAAAAGTCTGTTTTAGTTACAATTTTAAAGTAAGTCGAGAGGCACTAGCCAATCAGAAAAGGTGCCACCTGAAGGTGTCACCAGCTGCACACAGCAGCCCTCTCATTGGACTTTCAGAGCCTTGCTCACTGTTGGGAAGCTCTCCTGTCTTATCCTGACCTAGTTCTTTCAGATTGAGGAGATTATTAAATTGCTTCCATGGCAATCAAGACTTCATACACTTAAAATATGTTGTTGTATTCATTCATATTTCCTTCCACAGGAGATAGAGGTTACCCAACAAATGATTATATGCCTTTTTTTCATGTAGTTATAACCAAAGTTACAACTCTATGCAAATCTTATTAATCAGATTTTTCTTATCTGCATCTGAAATTTTTGCAAGTATTTCC